TTGTATGATACCATTTATATGAAATATCTGGAAGAGACATGTCCAAAGAGACAAAAAAGTAGAGTAGTGGTTGCCAGGGGCTGGGGGACGGGGATGGGGTGTGACTGCTAATGGGCATGGGGTTTCTTTTTGGGATGATGAATATGTTCTAAAATTGACTATGGTGATAGCTGCACAACTCTGGGGATATACTAAGAACCATTTTATGGTAAAAGCTGTTTTTAAAAATAAATTTTTTTATAGAAGGGTACAAAATAGTCAAAGACCAAAGACAAAAAAAAAATATTCTATGGGATGGACTGGAACTGGAAATTAGGTTGTCAGTAAGAATTCATGATTTCTAAAATGCCTATTTCCTACATATAAATGGGCCTAGAAGCAATGACACTCCAGTAGCAATGAGTATATACGGAGTCCAGATCTGGTTTTCTAACACTGTTTGTCATTAAAAGGAATCAGGGCTGACCCAGGGAAATACAAGCTGGACCTGGGATATCTTGTGCCAAAAAACAAGCAAGAGAGAACTAAAAAAAAAAAAAAAGTGGGGCCACGCCATGAGAACACAGAGCCAGTGTGCAAAGACTGTTACTAGCCAAATCTACGACAATGTGAGCACCAAAATAATAATGACAACCAATGAACTATATGTAAATCACTGAAAAAAAAGATTTCCACAAGTCCATATAAAGATGAATGGATGGATGGTTGGTTGGTTGGATGGGAAGAAAGGGCTCTTAGAGCAGAATGAGACTTCCAAATATAAGGGTTTAGGGATGGAAGCTAAAAAATTACCATTTGCAATGAAAATACAGAGATTGGTTCAGGCAAGAATGATCAATAGATGCTAATTTGAGGATGGGAATAAGAAACAGGATATCTGCATGGTCTCAAGTATCTGCTCATAGACTGCTCATTAGTTGTAATATGAAAACTAGTCAATACACAATGGAGAATCTGGATAGCACCTTGTCAGGTGATCAAAATCAACATCACCAATGAGGTCAGTTGGATATATCAACATCACCAATGAGGTCAGTTGGATATAGTGTGTCTCCAGAGTTGATACATGAATAAGGGCAAGGAAGTACTCCATGACATATTTTGGCCAGAAGTGCTGACCCGAATCCAAAATGAGAAACATTCTGTTAACAAAACACCTGGCCCTGTATTCTTCAACAATATCAACAGCATGAAAGAGAGAGAAAGTCTGAGGATCTCTCCAGATTAAAGGAGACGTAGGGGCACATCAATTAAATGCCACATGTGATCCTGAATTAAAACTAGCACCAGATGCCTGACCAATGTGGCTCAGTGGTTGAGCATAAACCTATGAACCAGGAGGTCATGGTTCGATACCCCATCAGGGCATATGCCCGCATTGTGGGTTCAATCCCCTGAGTGGAGCATGCATGAGGCAGCCCATCAATGATTCTCTCTCATCATTGATGCTTCTGTTTCACTCTCCCTCTCCTTTCCTCTCTGAAATGAAAATAAAAATAATAATTTAAAAAAAAACAGCACCAGAGAATATCATGCTACACAGGACATTATGGGACCACTTAACTTAAACAGCTGGAATATGAACAGTCAATTAAAAAGAACCGTATCAATGTTAAACTCTGGATTTTGATAACAATATTGTGTTTACACAGAAAATATCCTTGTCTTCGGAAACCCAGTGGAGAATATTGGGAAGTAAGGACAGAATGAAGGCAAACTCCTCCAAACAATTCAGAAAAAAATAATATAGGAAATAATACAGGAAATGTAATCAGAGCATGAGGTAAAAATGATAAAACACTGGTGAATCTAGATAAAGGATAAATGGAAATTTTCTATATTATTATAACTGTCCCACAAATTTGAAATTTTTCCAAATAAAGGTTATTAACATATATAAAGTAAAAGAACAGCCGAACCGGTTTGGCTCAGTGGATAGAGCCTCGGCCTGCGGACTGAGGGGTCCCAGATTCGATTCCGGTCAAGGGCATGTACCTTGGTTGCGGGCACATCCCCAGTAGGGGGCGTGCAGGAGGCAGCTGATTGATCTCTCTCATCAATGTTTCTCTCTATTCCTCTCCCTTCTTGTCTGTAAAAAATCAATAAAATATATATTAAAAAAAAAAAGTAAAAGAACAAACCATAACACAGATGCTCTGACTAAAGCCTTTACTTAAAGAGTAAGGGTAGAAGAGTCTGATTCTTACAGGGCTTTTCTGACAAACTGTTAGCACTCTCAGGCTACGATTTTTTTCCTTTCCTCTCTCTGCTCCAGAAGTCCCTAAGCAAGGTGATGAAGTTGAAAACTGAGGAGTTAAGGGAGCAATAAAGCAAAAAATAAAATGACATAGTGAGGAGGGTGAGGCGTCCATACAAAGCCTATTGAGCTCAAACAGGAAAAAGATGGGTCCCTAAACAGATGAGATCAAATTAGAACTGCTCCTTCCCACAGCAGTGTCTCAGAAATATGAAAACCAGGCAGCTTGGTCAAGAATATGTGCTGGCTGATTCAGAGATAAGATCCTCATACCACATACAAAAGACTAGGGCTTCAAACACAAGAACGCCCATTGAGAACAGGCATTTTGTAGGACAAGTCATCAAATCTGTTCAGTGACCTTCACTTGGGTGCCTTAACAAGGACAATGTAGTTTCCCAAATAATTCCACACTTTATATTATACTCTTTTTGTGCCTCATAACAAGAGTGATAGAATGAAGTGTAATAGGAAAGTGTAAGAAAAGAGAAAGCCTTCCATAGATGTAACCAGACACTCAAGGAACTGACATCTATCAACATTTTCGAATGTATAGCATTATAATTTTTAGACATTCTGAAAAAAAGAAAAATATTAAGAAGAGAGGACATAACAAAACAGCTCTCCCATATGAACATCCACTGTGTCAAGTCAAATGAATGGTGTGGGAAGCAAAGTATCTAGGGCTCCTCAGTGAGGTGTGAAAATCCTGTACTCCATTATTGTTGCAACTTTTCTGTAAGTCTGAAATGACTTCAAAGTAAAAGTTGGATTCCTTAACCTTATTGGAGTTTAAAATCTTACTGAGATTAAAACCTTAACTGAAGCTTCTTTCACACCCTCCAAGCACATTTTATTGGTACTTACATAACTACATAGCGATTGCTCAATAAATTAATGTTCTATTAAAAGTAAATCTCCCAAAGAGGCAAAAGCAAGGTTTAGGATATATATTTTTATTGATTTCAGAGAAGAAGGGAGAGGGAAAGAGAGAGAGACACATCAATGATGAGCGAGAATTATTGATCAGTGGCCTCCTGCATGCTGCTACTGGGGATTAAGCTCACAACCCAGGCATGTGCCCTTGACCAGAATCGAACCTGACACTCCATCCACTGAGCCAAACTGGCTAGGGTGCAAGATTTAAACTTTCTTGTCCTGGCCAGGTAGTTCAGTTGGTTAGAGCATCATTGTGACACACCATCGTTGCGGGTTTGATCCCCGGTCAGGGCACATACAAGAATCAATGAATGAATGCATAAATAAATGGAACAACAAATCAATGCCTCTTCCCCCAACCCCCTTCCTTCCTCCCTTTCTCTCATGAATTAAAAAAATTTTTACATTTCAGTTCCTGGATCAAGCTTACTACATTCCTTGACTTCTCTGGCTGACCAAGTGAAGAGTATAAACCGAAAAGATACCATTTTACAAGAAATCTGCTCCTCTCCCTTTCAAATATAGTAGGCAGAAATAAACCCTCTAAAGCAGGATTCTCAAATGGAGCAGAACAGAATACACTCCATCCCAGGAATTCTGGTCTTCATTAATTATGAAAAAATATATCCATACTCAAAATACCAGAAAGACTTTCATCAGTTCTGATACAGAACTCGGAAAATTAAATAGAATTTATCTATATTCTAATGGGCAATAACAATAACATCAACATCTTTATATGGTACTATAATTAGTTTGCATGCACCTACCTTATTAATTTCTTCACAACGGCATTTTGTCCACATTTTCAAAGGGCAAGGAAGATAATATTACAGCTTTAAGTCTTTCTAACACATAGCTTCAGTGCCAAGTACTTCAAGATCTATAAATATTTAATTGCATACAATCTAGAAATCCTTAGACAAACGCTTGTAAGGTCAAATACTCATTCTGGTTTTCAATATGAGAATTTATAGCATACTTATTTTGGTAATTTACCTCCTTCATCATTTCATACCTCATAGAGATAGCCTGTTCTAAAGAAAGAGGTATGTATTTAGAGGGACAGGAAGGGATGGCTATAATGTTCTTGAACTCCACCCTCCACACTTCACAGGGGTGCACGCTGGGGCACCATAGTGGGTGCGAGTGGGGGGGAAGGAGTGCATATGGAGCCAGCCAGTCGTACATGCTGCTCAAGGAAGGATAAATGACCACAATGGAATGCTTGATGCCTGGCAAGCAGGGGAAGAATATACTGCTCAGAATGGCCAAAAGTCTAGAGCTAAATCTTTTTAAACTCTTTAAAATTAAACTGTTGTCAAGTTTATCCTTTCTTTGAGAATCAAAAGAACATACAGATTCTATTGGATTTATAAACAATAATTAGGGTAAAGAAAGTGTATGGAGGAATACAGCCTCATAGAAAACAATTATGTGTTTATTCAAATGAAACTGAGTTACAGAGAGAGAAAGAGTAATCTGGGGTAGGAATAGAAGAAAAAAAGGATCAGAAATTCAAAAGAAGTAGCTTTCATTTGGACCCATGTGGTGTTTGCTGTGGTATTATTCACACACCTCCCCATAAACAACATCAGTCTGTGGCTTCTGGAAAAACATCTGGGACAGTGGATAAATACCAGCCATGCTTATCCAATTGCAAACCATAAGGACATTGCCATATTCTCCACATTCTCCAAAGTATCAACAAAATACATGAACCATTTTCACCCATCCCAGACAGTTATTTAAGCTCTCTTGACTATACAGTCATTCTGAAGGTCACAGGTACAGTTTCACTTACATGGTTAATGAAGAGACTCTTGCGTTTTTCTCTCACTGTGAAAACAAAAGATGCAACAAAAATGTTACACGACTACATGCCAACCCCTTACAGGTCACCAAGGACTAGCCCATCCTTCCACCAACCAACATATCCAGTTACTCCAATACCCAATATAAGAAAGAATATGTGACCTGCACAACAGAGATCTGAACCTGGTTAATAGAGCAAAATATATACCCACTTAAACTATGGCATGCTAACAAAGTAAGTGTAGGTATAATTAACTGAGGAATAATAGCTTTCCAATAACTAAATAAAATCTCAATTAGCAAATTTCATAAAACTTGTACACAACCATTAATTTAAGATAATTAACAAATAATAAGACTACTGATTTCTAACCTGAGCAGACCCACAAGGTGCAGACACACAAAGGTCCATACTATAGGTTCAAATATAAATATCAATAATAACCATCACAAGCATTAAGATACACGACAAAATATGCTAGAAGCATTATTAACATTGAAACAATTCCTCCCCCTGATAGGTCCTGAGGAATAAAGCCAGGTTTCTGATTAGGAGGGCTTTGGAGCCTCTTGCAACACCCTCTCCTTCAGGGAGGCTGATAATATCACAATACAAAATACTGTCCTATCTCAGAGATGGAGACCATGGTATTTATCAAAACAGAGGTCCTCAGCCCGAAATTTACATGGGTGACCAGGAACCCTAAGAAGCTTTTTCATGACCTGATTATCATTGAACTTTGCATTTTCTTTCCAGAATACCTAGTTTTAAGGGTACATACTAATAAATCAATACATTTACTGAGTAGGTCATTGTAGAAGACAGAAAGGTTTTCTTCAAAAAGATGACATCCTGAGCCTCTAGGAATCAAGAATGCCACCTTGGACACAGCTATTGGGGTTGGGAGGGTAGAGAGCTTGAGCAAAAAAGAAAAAGAAAAAACTCATGGACACTGACGACAGTGTGGTATTGATTGCTGGGGTAAAAGGGCAGGGGGGACAGTAGAGGGAAGTGAAGGGTATAGGGAGGATAAATGGTGATAGATGGAGACTTGACTTGGGGTGGTGAACACAGATGATGTGCACCTGAAACCTGTATAATTTTGTTAACCAGTGTCACCTCCAATAAATTCAATACAAAGGAATAAATAATCAAAAAGGCTCTAGGTACAAATCCAGCTTACTATCTGAGGAGCCCCTGTCCTCCCTTCACCCCCAAAGTCCACCTCCCAAATGCATATTCACTAGTTTCTAGCCCTGTGGCTGATCTGACTGAGGAATTTGGGAATTGTTTCCTAGTTTGTATTGTTTAATTGTCTTTAGAAGTCCTATCCTCTCTAAAATGATAAACCAGCCTGAGGGTACTCTTGAGAGCAAATGCCTGCAGGCCATCAGATGGACCCACTCACAGGCCCTGGGCATGCTCCTACCACACAGAGTGTGTGGGGCACCTGGCTATGCTTGAGGCTAGACCAGCACACTGGGAGCTCTCTGGAGTGCCCAGACAACTGCTGCGGACAATGTCTGCTAGGAACAGTGTGGAGACTGCATGACCACTTTTGACCTAACTTGAAATAAGCATCCACAGGTGAACCATAACAAAAGAAATACGGAGAGCTACAAAAAACACTGGGTTTTAACTTCCTGATACTATACACTTGGTGTGCATGCGCATGCATGTGTATCTGTGCGTGTGTGTGTACATGTGCATGTTTCCCTTACATTATTTCAATACTAAATTATTATGCATCTAGTCAGGTTTGCTTTACCAAGTGTAGGTATGATGACATGATTTCTCACTGGCTACAAGGATCTGAGAACACTTTTTACAAAGGCAGCAAATTCCATAGACGACACTTAGCCCTTGCTAGGGTACCCAACAACAGGTTTGTGCAGAGGCTTTGATAGGGGGAAGGGTAAGTAATAGGAATAGAACCACAGTTGTTTAAAGATTATTCACCTCACCTTACTAACTAAGGGGCTTTCTTACAAACCCTGGGAAACTGGAAGATGTGCTGCAAGGAGAAAGACAGGGCTATAAAAAGATAAGAGACGCCTTGGAGCCTGCTTGGGTCCATTATTCAGAAAAGAGAATACATTTTGAGAACAAACCAAGGAAATGCTTTGATTTGGTTGCTGAGCCTGGACCCTGACCCCCTCTGGGAGTTTGCCTCAGAAATGTTGACTATTATCCTGTCCCAGGAAGGGGCTGAGCTGGGTTTTCACATCATAGGAAATTAACTACCTTGTTATTGGACTTCAAGATCCTGGAAAGAGACACAGGGAACACAGACCCTGCAGCCCTTATTTTGCCCCGCGTACTCCTTGCAGGTAGCTCTTCTTCCTTATCCATATATAATCAGCTGGCTAGCAAGAGATATTACAGCAGAATTTTCTGGATGACCTGCTACTTTCCCATACTGCTGGCATTATTAGAATAAACGCTCATATATGATCCAACCTTGTCTCTGCTTAATTTGGCTCAAGTAGTGAGAGGTGACCCGCACCCATTTTGTATCTGGTTTCAGCTTTGGAGTCTCCCAATTATGGGAATCACCTCCAATGATATCCATGCCTCAAGAAATATTAGAGTTTCCTATATGAGTACTACTAAAAACATTAAGAATTACTAAAAAATGAGAGGATTAGACTATAGAATCATCAATGTTTTGACTTAAAGTTTTAACAAGAAAGCTTTAAAACAAACAAAAATAGAATCACAGTACATTGACAAGTAAGAATATTGTAAACGTGTATGCTATTCTCGTACATCTTCTACAAGGATAACTCTAAGGAAAGAATCAGACCATTTCCATGAACCCCAACTGGTCCCAATTAGAATAGTAGAAAACAAAAGTTCACTAAGACTATTACAAAACACTTAAGGACAAGGTATCAGAATCTATTGTAGAATACTTTATAAACACTTTGTGTTTATACAAATGAATGCCTTGTACTTCTTTATTTCCCTCAGGGCAACTGAACCTGCTGAATCTTATCTGAAATCTGGTACTACCTTTCTGTATTATTTTGTAAGGCCACCCATAAAAGGGCCTTTGAAATATTAAGCCTACACAGTATCTGAGAGGCTTATCACATGTGTCCCTATGACAGATTTCCTTCTGGAATATCTCCTGAGTCCCCTAACCAACTGCCTGTCCCAAAACATAGACAATCTTCTATCATTTGCAGAAGGTTATCTTACATAAGCTGCAATGGATGAGGAAATCTATGAAATGAAATAAATCTTCTCTTAAAGTATTGCAATTTATATATTAAACAAATGCAACAGTGAAGGCCTATGGCGAAAGTGACAGATATTATTTCCCCATGAACTTCAAGTTTTCACACATTTCTTTACAGGGCTTCCTTCACAGAAGCGGCCACTGGAGCTAGTGAAAAACTTGGGGGTTAGAGCCAGAAAACTGAAGTAGGGGAACCTAATAAAGTGGCAGAATGTGGCTGGAATGATAATGAAAGAAAAATCAAAACCCCATTTTTATATTCAACAATCCAAGGGAATACTTATCTACTCAGCCAAGCAAGATGTAATAGCTCAACTTACCTTTTTGGGCCCTAGAAAATTAAGAGGTATGAGGAATCTTTTAAACTAGAACTTTCTCCGCTGAAAATACTTTAATTTTTCCTCTTACATTATTATGTACACCATCATCATAACATTAAATCCTGGTATTCCTGGCAGTGTGTTTTTAATAGTAAGCATCTATACAGATGAAGTGGGACTTCCATATTATGTGTGGACCTTTACCCTATCAACCTATTTGCTGAAGTAGATGTATGTATTAATTCCATTACAGGACTATAACTTGCATAACGGATGAGTTCTCACCACTTTCTGTAGACAAAGGGACATAAGCAACAGGAGAAAAGGCAGTAATATTCATTCTAGTATACATGTGTAACTTATAGCATTGGGAACTATTAGTCATTTAGTTTGTCTATTATTCTTTTTTTTTTTTTTTTTGCATTGGACTTAGGAAATTGAAGTGTGTAAACCAAAGCAGTTAAAGTTTTAAGTTCTAGGGAATTCTGAGATGTGACTATTTTAATTACATACATATTTAAATTTCTTGCTTTGGAAAGAGATAAAACAACGGGAGTAAGAAAACAGACACTTATAATCCAAGGTGCTTCATTTACTCTTTTAACCTTCATGGTTTGATTCATGTCATGAAACTGGCACAAATAAATAATGCATGAGCCATTTTAGAATAAATTTCACATGAAAAACTTTGGTAAAATGGAAACTATACAGCAGTGATGGCGAACCTATGACACACGTGTCAGAGGTGACACGCGAACTCATTTTGGGTGACGCGCATCGACAAAAAACGGCATAATTCAAATATTTGTCTCTTGCAACGGCCACAGTTGGGCATCACTTGAGTAATATTATTACTCACGTTACTCATGATCAATAATGCAATTCTAAAATCGAATGTAAACATGTACATCGATGTTACATAGCAAAGATACATAGTGAAAACATCCAAGATACATTGTTCCAATATTGACATTAATATAAAAAGGTTAAGAATTGCACTATAAAGAGCTTAATCTTAGTCATGACATTTTATTTTTTTTCTTGACTTTTCTTTTTTTAAAATTAAATCTTTATTGTTCACATTATTACAGTTGTTCCACTTCTTTCCCCCCATAGCTCCCTTCCACCCGGTTCCAACCCCACCATCTGCCCTTATCCCCCACCCCCAATGTCCTCATCCATAGGTATATGATTTTTGTCCAGCCTCTTCCCCCACCCTCATCATCCCTCCCCCCCGCGGAATAGTCAGTCCACTCCCTTTCTATGCCCCTGATTATATTATATTCACCATTTTATTCTGGTCATCAGATTTTTTTATTCACTTGATTTTTAGATTCACTTGTTGATAGATGTGTATTTGTTGTTCATAATTTGTATCTTTACCTTTTTCTTCTTCTTCCTCTTTTTAAAGCATACCTTTCAGCATTTCATATAATACTGGTTTGGTGGTGATGAACTC